TCCCCAGCCCCATAATTCTAAACGATATTTAAAAACTCACTATTCCTGGTTTGAATTCAGCTTGAAGAGACAAACAGATACTGACGGGAATTTCAGCCCATGCCTAAAGGCAGATAAGGTTTTCCAAGTGAAGTGCATTGGGCTTTGCTTAGAAGATGGAACCCGTGTCAAGCAGAACCTTTTCTAAGCAAAGCACATGAGAGATGGTCTATGATGAACCTGGATTGCATTTTTCACTGTGACACAGATAGGTGAACATTGGTCCATGTATTATCCTTAAAACATTTCAATTTTAAATCTAGTTGAGTTGTTCCCAAATTTTAATGGGCATCAAAATCCCTTGGGCCACAATAACTAATGAACATATAAACTGTGGTATAGTCTTACAATGGAATACTACTCAGCCATAAAAAAGAATGCAGTTCCAATATGTGCTGCGATGTAAATGAACATTGAAAATATTGTATTTTTAAAAAGAAAATACTATATTGAGTGAAAGAAGCCACACAGAGGCCACATATTGTGGAATGAACAGAACAGGAAAATTAATGAAGACAGAAAGGACATTAGAGCTGACAGAGGCTGGGAGAACAGGAGAATTAGTGACTGCTTAACAGGTATGGCATTTGTTTAGTAAGAAAATATTCTGGAATTAGAAAGTGAAAAAAGTTATACAACATTGTGAACGTACTAAGAACTACTGGATTACAAGTTAAATTGGCTTAAAGGTTGACTATCACATTCTAAGAATTTCATATCGATTAAGCAGTTCCTGTAGGGATAAAGCTCCATACTGAATGATGTTCTGGTGCCTTCTCGCCACCCATGGACCTGGTCTCTTAGCAAGGACAGACTGGCTCAAGCTGCCTCTCTGGGTATATGTTTGTGAGAACAGCCTGTTTCCCACCACTGAATGAATTTCTCCAGGACAGTTGCATCTGTCCACACCCTGGCTCAGGGTCTGCTGCCACGGCACCCAACCCTTCTTCTTGTCCTTCAAGTGAGGAGCTCACGGGCCGCCCTTCTCAGGGAGGTCTCTTTAGTGGGCACTCAGTGGAGTCCACCCCTCCACCAGTCCAGTGCATGTCCTGTCCCACTTGCTGTCTTATTTTCCTTTTCCTTCTCCTCCTCCTCCTCTTCCTTCTCTTTTTCTTCCTCCTCCTTCTCTTCCTCCTCCTTCTCCTCCTCCTTCACTCCTTCTTCTCCTGCTTCTCTTCCTCTTCCTCTTCCTCCTCCTCCTCCTCAACCCTTTCCTTTCCAACCCTTATGCTCCTCCCTTAACTTGTTTATCCCACTCCACCTCCTGGAATGTAAGTTCCAAACGCACTGGGGTTTCATATATTCTGTGCACTCTTCTGTCCCCAGTTTTATCTACTGATGTAGAATTCTGCAAATACTTGCAGAATCACTGGATGATGAGTCGCAAATTGCTGACTTCCTTCCTCTCCTGACTTCCTCTAAATGCCCAAAGAGGGCCCTAGAATATTCTATCAGAGTGAAATAGCAAGAGGCAAAGATCATCTGTAGGTAGAAAATGCTGTTCGGTCTCATTACCATTTGTCAACAGAGTGTTCTGGGCCAAGCATGGTGGTACACACCTGGAATCCCAGCACTCTGGGAGACTGAAATAGAGGATCACAAGTTTAAGCCCAGTCTAGGCAATTTAGCAAGTTAGCAAGACTGTGTCTCAAAAGAGAAAAGGGGCTGGACTGTATCTCAGTGGTAGAGTATTTCGGGGTTCAATCCCCAGTACCCAGGTGAGGCTCTCAGTGTGTGGCAATATTCTCAGTGGTACAGTTCTTTCCTGCCATGCACAAAGCCCAGGGTTCAAGTCCCAGCAGTGCAAAAACAAAACACACACGAAAGTGTTGGCTCTTGCAGAGGGTTACATCCTGGGTGTTTTCACTGTGCCAACCATGAAGGCTGGTGCAGCCCTGGTGAGCCTGGGCCATGCTTGGAGTAGACCTGCTCTGTGCTGAGTGATCCATGGTGAGCAAGGATCTGTCAGGTCATGGAATTCATGGAAACCTCACCTGACATCTGGCAAGGATGCTGCTGCCTTGTGAAAACAGCAGCACCTCCAGAGGTGGGTGCCTTTGAGCCGGTCCCCAGAGCAAGCTAAAAGCCTATGCCCTTCTGGGTAGTATCTCCCTAGGTTCTAAGAAGAGAGAACTTTAAAAACACATGGGCTTCATCCCTCAAAAGAAAGAAATGGCTGAGGGAAATAAGAGTTTATTATCATGCAGATCACTGTACTTCCATCTGATGGTACCTAGGACAGGACACAAAGGGTATTTTTGCCAAATATGTTCTGTTCTATTCTCTCCAAACCAAAGCTTAATCCACACTCTTAAACTAATCTCATTTACCTTGTTTCTATCCCTTCTTGTTAATGTCCACCTCCCCACCAAAAGCACCAAAGTGTATGCACGGTGCATGCGTGTGTGTGTGTGTGTTTGAAAGACTGTGGGATGGCATGGACTTGTCTAAGCTTGGTGGGTGGAGCTGGTCTCAGCTCTCCATCTCCTGAGGCCTGCAGACCTTCTTGGCTCCCTGTGGGACAGGATGATTCAAGCCACACTTTCTTCCAGCTTCTCTCAACTACTGTTATTCTTGCTGTAAGCCTTCTTGAGACTAACACCTTATCCTACTGTCTTTTCTAATTAACTCAGACATTTTCCAGAAATCAGTTCCCTTCCAGAATGAACTGATCAGTTTGTCATCCTGCCACTGAGTTGCATATCACTGAAATGGAGCCTCAGTCCCACAGGTCAGGTCTGGGAACACACATGTCCTAGGAATAATCACAAATATAGAAGAAGATCTAATCTAGATCTTAATGAAGTGTATTTCTTAGCAAAGAGAAGAACTGTCCTAAATTCCCTGGCTAACGTACCAACCTCTTCAACACAAAGCCTTCTACATTGAAAATTTTATAGTCTGTAGTTTGTTGGAGCTGTTCAGCATCATTTTGGTACTGGGAATAATCAATCTATCCAGCAAGAAAAGTTGTACAGGTTTCAATGGGAACTTCGTTACAGTCCTACAGATCAGTCTCTGTGTATTTCCTTTACATCCAATAGAGCAGAACTTTCATGCCTTAATTTACTTGTGGGTTAGAATCATATTCTAGAGGTAATAATCTGAGATTAACAGACAACATTTGGGTAAACAGCTGTATCATCATTTTAGCCATGGAAATAGTCCTGGTCTCAAAATATTGCCACCCTTGGTCATTGTGAGGTGGTTAGTCTACTATATTCAGGGACATGTAGCAGCCTGTACTGTTTTGGCTAATTCATTGAGACCTAATTATAATGTCATCCTATAAATGTCTCCTTGGTGAGAGAAGGTTTGAGCCTGCTCTCCAGGAAGCTTGCTCATTGAGTAATAAAACCTTCTGGGTCTCTGGTATGCCTGTCCCTTGCCATCTCAAGACATAGGAAAATGCATGTGTAAAAGGAAATTACACACTGTCTTTGTTGGTGACTATATTGGTCCATTTATGTTGCTATAACAAAATACTTGATTCTGGGATATTGATTAAAAAAAGAGGTTTACTTCCTGGAGGCTTTGAAGGCTCAAGAGCATGCTCAGTTCTGGTGAGGGCCTCATAGAGGATGTCATCACAATGATAAATGAGCATGCAAGGGGGAAGGTGCTATTGCAAGGCAGGAAGCAAGAGGCATTCAAATGCCAGGCTTGCTGTTTTTACATCTCACTCTTAGAGGGAATTAATTAGGTTTCCTCAAGAACAACACTAATCCCTACTGAGGGCAGCACCCCTATGACCTAACCAACTTCCACTAGGCCCCATCTATTAAAGACCTCATGCCACTCAACAGCAGCACACTGGGATCAAGCTTCTAGCACATGAACTTCTGGGGAACACACTTAAATCATATGTGTGACACTATCTGCTGAAGGAATCAAACCCTAAGTTCTCAGCAGTGTACCAGAGTGGAGGTCTGTCTGCCTTACTTGGAACACTCTGGGGCTCAAGGCTCCAGATGGCCTCCCTCCCTACCGTGAGTCAAGAGCAGGGGCTGTGTCTGACTCCCCCATCTTCTAAAACATGGATGCCCCAATCTCAGCTGCCAGAAACAGAAAGTACATTGAGAAGGAATCCTTGCTTAAATACCACAGATCCAAAGTAACCCATATCACTTCTGCTTACATTTCTACTGCCAGTACTTTCTCACACAGCCCACCATGTGCAAGGGTCCTGGGCAGCCCTCTAGACCACAGAAGGGGAGCGTGACTTTCTGGAGAGCTGGCTGGCTCTGTCACACCTCTTATAGCCCTGGAATTTATTTTTTTTATTTTTTATTTTTTGGTTTTTTTCTGGTACCGGAAATCGAACTCATGACGTCGCGCTTGCCAGGCAGGCCCTGTGCCGCTGAGCTAAATCCCCAGCCCCTAGCCCTGGAATTTAGAGGCAAGTGCAGGGCATGTATTTCCCAACCACTTCCATTCTCTTACACCTATACTGGGGGAAGACAGTGATTCATTCCTTTGTAGACCTAAATGCCAATGTCAGCAAGACCTTACCTATGGTGGACCATATGTCCCTGAAGCCATGGGATTGATAAGCATCCATCTGTACTTTTTTTCTTGGCACTAACCAATAGGGAGATGGTGTGTGTTGTTATTATAAGCTACAAGTCCTAAGAACTCACATCCCCTTACATCACTTCACCTGGACCTATTGGTGACACTTGTAATGAGACTCTGTCTGAAGTTACTAATTTGACAAATGGCAAATGATGATTTCTTTTTTGATAAAGCATTGTTTTCGGCAGTGGTATCAGCACTGCATGCGAACAAATGTCAGGATGAGTAGAACGTGCCTCGTATGCTGTATATTGAAGCCTTTATTCATTGATAGTCATGGTGAACACCTGAGCAGGTGTTGCCAGTAAGTGGTCTTGTAGCAGCAAGGGAGCCAGGAAAGGCCATCCAGTGCCCTGATGACTTCCTACTGGGCTCTTCCTTCTTAGGTACCCGTTCCCCATGGTCTTCAGCAGCTGCAGCAGGAAGGACCTGGAGACCAGCCTGGAGAAAGGGATGGGGATGTGCCTCTTCAACCTACCTGAAGTCAAGCAGGCTTTTGGGGGCCAGAAGTGTGGGAACGGATACGTTGAAGAAGGAGAAGAGTGTGACTGTGGGGAGCCGGAGGTAAGGGAGCCATCTCCAGAACGTTCTCCTGATGTTCTTGGATGGACCAAGCAGTAAGAAATTGGGCAGCAGAAAGAATGTGCTAGAAACTCAGGATGGAGAAGTCCTGTATGTCCACCTTGAACAAGCCCCACACACCAGGGTACCTTAAGTGAATAGTTAAGTGAATCTTAACTATTGCACAGAAGAAGTGGTACCATTTGGTTTAAATAGATAAAGAATCTTCTCTATTGAAGGGTGCAATATTTTCAGTGAGATGAGGACAATAACAATAAAAAAAATGCATTTAGCTTTGAGTTTGACAGAGGAGGAAGCCTTGGAATTCTAGCTTCTTTGAAGCTAATAGGCACCATTTCTTTCTCTTTGCAAGGCAAGCTTTACTAGAAGGGAATCTGAATAAGCTGCACTCAGTTTTAGACAAGAGCTTCCTCTGGAACTGAAATTCTTCCGCAGCCTCCTATGTATGCATGGCCTGAGGCCCCCAAGGCTTCTGGCTTTTGTGCTTGTTAGCTTTCAGAAGCAATAAGTGAGAGCAGGGAATGTTTTTATCTAGCTCTGGGCTTATTTAACCCTGCTTTCAAACCAATCTCAGGAAATATTCTTGTTTCTATAGTGCCCAAGATAAAGTTAATCAACACAGAAAATGTAACAGCCACTTTTTCATCTTTGAATATTCCTGAGAAGGAAAGAGAGGACATGGTGAGACGGCCTAGTAAAACAAGCCCCTCAAAGCTTGGAGGAGGTTGTGTTTAGAATAAATCAAAGCAAGGCATTTATATAACTGCATATGGGATCGTCCGCTAGAGCTTATGCAAGGCAAGTGGTAGACAAGTTCAAGGCAGGTTTAGCTAAATTCACAAATGGCTTAATGAGGGATCCGGAAAAGCACTTAAAAGGAGATTCTAAGATAGAAGAAAAATTGTACTGAGCATCCTGTATATTCCTGTGATCACCACCCAAACAACCCAGTAATAGAATCTTCATCATATCCCATCTCTCAGGGTCTGGGGTTTTCCATACCAGCAGGAATGATCTTAGTCTGACAGTTTCTGGAAGGATGTTGGAGATGTATAAACCCTGGGTGGGAGTGGAGAATGTAGAAGTGGTTTTATCAAATGTTTTTGTACCCTTGTCATACTCAGAACTTATGAACAATAATGACACTGTTAATTGTGCTCACAGGAGCAGGGACTGGTTGCTCCATAGCAGCAAGTCCTAATTATGGTGTTACAGAAACTCTTAAAGATTAGTGAAGGAAACTGTGAAACTATCATGGGATGGGGTGTGCAAAGAGAAAAGTTTCTTGAAGGCCTTATTAATTACTTAATGAAAAAATGTCATTAGCTTACATTACCTATATTTCTCAGAAGATGCCATGTTGACTTAAAATGATTTGTCATTGATTTGAACTCCTTCTCCGTGTTTGTTAACATAAATATATCTGACAACTCTTCATGGAGTCATGAACGCTCAGGTTTGGAGTGACTCCATTCACACATTTGCCCCATCTGCCACCATTCCCACCACCACTGTCACTGTCACCGCTACTGCTGTTCACATTATCACTATTATCTCAGCAGCTATTCCAACACTGCCTCCACTGTCATCCCCGCCACCCCACTATTTATTCCCCCAGTCACCACCGCCCCCACATCTACCATCACCACCATGGCTATCACCACCATCAACACTACCATCACCACACCATCACCCCTGCTGCCACCATGAGATCAGCAAATACCTGAGGATCAAATATTTGCTAGACATCTTTGTTCTGATCCTCTTTTAGCTTCCAGAAGGAGTTGTGCAGATTTTCCAGGGTGCTGTATCTCTCCAGGTAGCACATTGTATTGTGGGACAGATATGATTATTACAAACTCCTTATGCAGAGCCAAATTCTCCTTGCATGTAATTCCTATGGTTAGAGTCCTTAATTCATAAGGTGAGTTGTTGATATTTTTAGATAGGAATCCTTCTTTTCATCCAATCATCCTTCATGAACTTTTTCAAAAATCACAGTGAATTTTTTGCATTTGTCTGTTTTTAGTGTTTTGCTTTTCAAAGTTCAAGGTCCAATTGTGGTAGCCCATTTCCAGGTTCTGAACTGTTTTGCCCAGGATTTTTAATTTGACCCATTGCCTGGGCTCATTCTCTCCCTCCCCGGTGCTCACACCTGCAGGCATTTCTCCTGCTGTTGGTCAAACCATTCCCTGGGCCAGAGGGAATCAGTGAGTGAGTGGGATTGAAGTAACTTCCACCAGCACACACTGAATCCAGCCTCTGCTCCCTCACTCCCAGAAATCATCTCCGTCATTTCTACGAAAATGCATTACAGTTTTATCACATTTCATTGTGACTAAGAATCTGTCTACTATCTACAGCATGAGAATGACAATTAGGGTTTTGCAAAGGATTTTCTAATGGTTTCATTTTTCTTTCTTCTTTGGAGACTTGGTATTTATTGGTTCTGTTGCTTCCCTATTGAGTACTACAATAATAAACGCATCAACAGATGAAGAACTTGTCTCTTCTGGAAACTATGGTACTCCAGAAGAAATAGATTTGAGGTAGTTAAAAGGCAAGTGATACTCACAGCCTTCTGGTACAGGGTGTTAGATTTATATCACCATAAGGATATCCTGACAACTCACTCACTCTTCCAGCTAACAGGCCTGGGATAGCAACCTTACCGCCTTGTTTAAAGTCAATAAGATGCCAGTAGCTTGCAAATATCTTTTAAACTTAGTTATCTTTCTCATATTATCAACTCTCTTTGAAGTCAAAGACCTTCTACTTGACTGCATTTCCATCTGAACTGATGCTTATATTATTTAGTGATTCGGGGAGGGGGAATGGTTCTTAAAGGATTTGGAGACATATATATGGGATGTCTGATTTTACTTAAATTTCAAGGGAATCTCTAATTTGGTTAATGTGTCATTAGTAGAGCCATTTGGACCATAATGAGCAAAATGGCACTGCTGTACATCTGATAGTACCCAATTGAGAATGCAATTAATGGTCTCCTTTAAAAAAGCCAAACAAGTTACTAAACTTTGTTACCATTAAGAGTCCATGAGCCAGAAACCCTTACCGTCATGAAAGTTACAGCCATGATTTCTGGCTGGCAGTTTTATCTTAATGTATATACTACACATTCTGGATGTTTATAAAGTCCTCAAGCAAATGTAAAATTTAATAGCTTGGACAGTACGTATGATAGGAGAAAATGGTAAACACCAAGTGGGAGCTTCACACAGGACACAGTTCATGTATCTAGGGTTGCCATAAATCAGGGTTATTCCAGAAAAGATGGTTTTCAGGAGTAAATATTACATTGTTAAACTTATATGCGATTAGCATCACCCTAGCCCATGGTATATAAATTTATTATAGCACATCATACCTTGGAAAAAATAAAAGAGTATTGATAGACTAAGCAGTGTGAAGGACTATGAACTAGTCCATCGTATAATAATTATAATTTCTTCTAAAATATGTAATCTCAAAGTTATTGGGATGCTCTAAAATACACAGACTTCATAAATTTACTAAATGAGAGCAGGCTTTCTGTTGAGAACTAAGCAAAAGATGTCAGTCTTGTTTGTTTGTTGTTGTTGTTAGAAAAAATGAGTACATCCGAAGCGTACCAAAGTAAAGGAGCTAGTTTTCCCTCTCACTTTTGTTTCACAGAGGGCAATACGTTACTATTTGATCTATCTGTTTAAATCCCTTGAAAATCAATGGGGTCAGCCCCGACCGCCTTCCCACTTCTTAGCCTGCCTGTGCAGAGCAAGGATCTCAACCACAATTACCTGGTTCAGTTGCAGGGAACTTGGGTTGATCTGACTTCCCTTCCTCTCAGAGCACTCTCAATCAAAGGGGTTCTTTTTCTTTGCTTTGATTTGCTTTGCTTTTTCCCCTACAGTTCTAGGGACTGGACCCAAGGCCTCACAAGGCAGCCTAAGCAAGCACTCTACCACTGAGCTGTGATTCCTACCCCATCAAAAGGTTCATTTTTGAAGAGTAATGATTATATGCATCTGTGTATTCTTTTTTCTTTCTTTTTATTATTGCATATTAGTCATACAGAATAGTGGGTTTCATTTTGGTATAAATGCACCTGTATAAAATATACCACAGTCATTTGGGGGTAAGTAATTTCTGTCTTCTGGTGGTCCTGATGCAGGTAATTGCAATGAGTCCTGCATGGAGATCTCTCTAGGAGTTACTACGGCCTCTGACCAGCATGGCTTCCCGTTTGGCCCTCCAGCCTTCCTGCTTCTACCCCTTTATGTCTCAGGAAAGGCATTCAAGTGTTACTGACTTCTTCCTGAGATGAGCAACCCAGTCAATTCATGAACGCTTCACAGAAACTGCTTTCTTGCAAATAAAACTGATGCTCAGGCAGGTTTTTAGTTCCGGAGCCAGGCCTTGTGCTTTTGCAGTCGCTTAAGGTGTGACATCTGTGTTCCATGAGTCATTGCCTTGTATGATCCTGTCAACCAGAGTCCATGTTTTCCTCCAGGAATGTACAAATCGCTGCTGCAATGCTACCACCTGCACCCTGAAATCAGACGCCGTATGTGCACACGGACTGTGCTGTGAAGACTGTCAGGTGAGTCACAGGACCTGCAGCTTGGCCCCAGATCATCAATGGGTTTAGGATTCCCATCTGATATATGTAGCATAAGCAGTACGGCTATATAGCTTCCCAGAAAATCATGACTCCTTTTACATAGTCGATATCAGCCACCTTTTAATTTTTTATTATCTTCCAATATTCTGTGAAAGGGGCACTTCAATTGCTTTTTTTTTTTCTTTTGTCTTTTTGAGACAGGGTCTTGCTATACAGTTCAGGCTGGCCTTGTGCGTACTTTGTAGCCCAGGTGGGCCTCGAACTTGCAACAGTTCTCCTGCCTCAGCCTCCCGAGTGCTGGGATTACAGGTGTGTGTCACCACACCCAGCAGCACTTCAGTTACTAATCATCTGTGATAAATTATTTATTCATGGTCTGAAAACTAACAGAACCCCCAAACTGGAGCTTTACATTCGTGGATGTTCCGTTTATCCTGTTGTTTATATGTGGGGTCCTATGATGGTGACCAGTGTGGAGAATCAGACCCATCCCTGTCACTAGTGTTCACTCCAGATTTGTCTGCTTCGTGCCAAGAATGACCAGCGGGCCAAGAAACCATGCAGATGGCTCCAGGGGTTTTGCACAAACATCTCTGACTTAACATCCTCCTGACATTAAGTCAAGAGTGGCAGTTTTATGCTTTGGCCATTTTTGCTATTATGGTTGCATTTACTTTGGCAGTGCCATTGTTCGTCTCATTATTCCAAGCTGATATCTGACAGAGTAGAAGCCTGAGCTTTTGATTCAAGTGTTCCAAGGGTAGAGTTTTATTTCTTGTTAATTAAGCAATTGATCTTGGCAAGCAGCTTACAGGAAACTCCCTCTTAGCTGCCCCACTTGAGTACAGTGATTTAGAAGTGCAGTTTAGCATTTTATGCTCAGCATTAAACTACCCTTTCCCCACTTCTTGGTGGTCTGTAATTTCCGAGGAAACTTGTAAGAAGCTGGAGCTCCCTAGCACCTGGCCACTGGCAGTGTAAGGTGCCTGGAAGAGGGTTGAGGGGGTGGGAGAGAGCTGAGCGTAAACCAGATGAGGCTCAAGAAGGTCACAGGGGGCAGGGGGGGTCATGTGGTAGTGCCCAGGTGTGAACCACTTTTATGAATTTTAAGCAATTCCTTTCAAATTGTAGACCTTCCAGAAGTTGGCAGGAGCCTTATCTCATTGCCTTTGAATAATACAAAGGGAACCAAGCCCAGGACTTGCAGTCCCTGGCTGCTTAGCCACTCTGAGTCTTAATTTCTTCAACTACAAAAATTGAGTCACTGGTCAGAGATCTCTAGCATCCTTTACTACTTCCATGTTTTGCCTCTTCTCTAGATCTCCCCATAAAGTGCCAAAGAGAGGTTTCTAGTTCTGTGGTGTGATGACAAAGTGACATTTCTATGGAGATGGTGCCCTTGGAATTATTTTTAACTCATCCAGAAATGCTAACACTGTAAGGGCAAATGTCAATTTAAAGCATGTGGTGATTTTGGCAACCAGAGAAGGATCAACCTTCCCAGGGGCCTGAAGAGACAGATGCCAGCCAGCAGCCTGTCTGCTCACCAGAAACCCCGAAGGTTGCACACAATTAAAAAGAGGCTGTTCTTGATTGTCTCGTATTCCTTGTCACAGAAACTTAAACCCCAGAGTCCAGAGCAGAATCTTTTAGCAAACTCTCTCTCCTATAAAAGGGGATTATTTTGAAATCCTTGTTCCTTTATGTAGGCTGTATTAAGATGGCCTTGTTTCATACCTCTCTACCCTGAGAGCTGCTGAGGATGGCTTCCCCTGGGACATGTCCTGTAAGCTACCCTCTCTTTTCAGCTGAAGCCTGCAGGAACTGCATGCAGGGGCTCCAGCAACTCCTGCGACCTCCCAGAGTTCTGCACAGGAGCTGGTCCTCACTGTCCGGCCAATGTATATCTGCATGATGGGCACCCGTGTCAGGGGGTAGATGGCTACTGCTACAACGGCATCTGCCAGACCCATGAGCAGCAGTGCATCACACTCTGGGGACCAGGTAAGTGACCACCACCAGCTTGACACAGGATATTAGGGAAGCATGTTCTGTGTCCATTAATCTTGTTCCTGGAGTGTCCATCTTATACACAGCGGGCAAAAACTGATGCTGCCTGAGCCTGCCCTTAAAGAATTCAATGTGACCCAACAAGAGAGGTAGGAGTGCCATGGGGTGACAGGGATGAATCAGCCAGGGCTCCACATGTACAGAGTAGGTGGACAGGTGACCAGACTTTCCCACAACTACTACTCTAAAGATCCCACTCAAGGGTTGAGGATGCCAGAGAGAGAAGCCACTGCAGCTGGAGGAGACAGAGGGCTGCATGAGCAGGCTCCCAGTTAGATCAGATCTCATGCATCATAGGTCTGTGACTGAGAGTGACAGGGAACAGTAAGCTGCCGGTGGGCTGGAAAAGCCCGTGGTGCGGCATAGGCAGTGGGGTTGGAGGCCGGGCTCCAAGCTTAGGGGCCCGGAGAAGGAAAGGAGATAGGTGAATGAGAGCCCCGCGTGCCATTTCATACAACACGCTTGATGTCTGTTCTGGCAAAAGCAGCCAGTGAAAGGTGGTCAGGAAGTGGCTGCCATGGTGGCAGGATCAAACAAGATGCTATCCGTTCACCACTCCTTGTCAGGAGGGCCCTTGGCTGAACACTGGGCCACTTTAGATACAGACAAGGATTATAGCTGTACAGAAGGTGAAGCTCAAATGCTGAGATAGGAAATCAGCTTCCCAAAGCCATGCAGCTGGGATTTGAATCTGGTCACTGTGACCCTGCACCCCAGCAAAACCTCCACAGTGCATTGTCACTCCAAAGAGTAAGTGAGGTCTTGGTCTGAAGTGCCACTGAGGCTCTGAAAGTCAGCAGAAGTTCAGACGCAAAAGGGAGAAGAATCGGTGCCTTCATGTGTGTCTTCTCCCCTGCTCCATCCTGGGGCAGAGATATAGGGCCTTGCCACCCTGGGAGCCCTTTGGGATTTTCTGTCCTCACTTTCCAGGACTCCAGCTGAGAAGCCCGTGGAGAGTGCTTGTAATCCTCTGTCTCCTTCCCTTCCTGCAATGCAGCCAAGGCCTTGCTCACTCCCTTCTCCTGCTGGCTACAAAGGGGTGACCTCAGTCCTGGCCAGGGACCCCAGTACCAGCAAGGCCGCTGTGGTCAGCCAGGCTTAGGGTAAGAGCCAAATGAGCTCAGACAACAGCTTGAGGAGGAGGGAAACCTGATACAGGCTCTCAGGCCTTTCTGGGAGGGTCTGGTTTCAGGAGTGATTGGGCAAGTAAACTAGAGCAGAGCATGGTGACCAAACGTAGAAGCCTGGGTTTTAAATATGATATGAAAGTAATGGCCAAGCATAGAGAATATCTTTTGGAGCTGGATCCTGCCATGGAACCTATTGTCCCTGCCAGCCAAAGATGAACCTCTGCACATGGAGCTTTCTGAGGTAGAAGAAAGTGCAGGCTGGACATGGTGACCTTTACTCATTCATGGATGTGCCTGAGTAGGTGGAATGAGGAGGCCTGTGGTTTCTGGCCCTTCCTGCTTTATCCTTGGGTCCTGAGTACTCCACATCCTCTGGCTATGAGGTCTTCTAAAGGACAGGACCATCCACGTTACAATGACAAGCACTAAGAAGGCACTTACTATACACATGTCAAGTGCTCTGGAGCTTGAATGTTTAGCAACTTCAGACACTTTTTAAGCAAGCAAGGTCACTGTGAGACAGTGGCTTCTGCTACCAGCCAAATCTTCACATCCCCCTCATGGCTGTCTCCCCCGCCATACACACACCCCTCGCCAGCCCTTCTGCAGAGTCAGTAATCTCCCTTCTTGAGTTATGAGTGTCGTTCTGTGCTCTCTTCCAAGGAGTGTTTCATGGCCAGAGCACACACGGCTCTTGGAGCTTTGGAGTGAAACGTGCTCTTTAGTGCCCTGCTGTTCTGTAACATCTGGCTGTGTTTCCAGAGTGAGGTCAGACGGAACTCCACAGTTCTCTCTGAGCCACCACGCCGTGTGACTGGGCTGGCTGTGGGCCCTTGATTCACGGTGACCAAGGCTGGTATTTATTATCTCATTGGGCTGGTCCTTCCCAAGCTGCCTGACCAGAGGGGTTAGGGGAGAGAATGGAGAACACAAGCCAGCCAGACAATCTGACCCCTAAGTTTTTCAAAAGCAAGGGCAACTGGAAGTTGTCTGCTTGAACTCTCATTCTTGGGCCTGAAGGTAAGGTTGGAGGTCTGACTGCCGGGGAAGCATCCTCCTCCCCCAGCAAGGGCAGGCCTTCGTCTGGGCAAGGTGGGATTTGCCAAGGGTGGTTCACAAATCACTGAGACCAGATCTGGGAACCAGATTTAGGGAGCACAGCACCTCAGGCTCATGACTCCCTGGGATTCAATACTCCTCTGCCAGCTCCTCAGTATAGATTACCAGCCAACTTCCTGGGGAGAGCAGGAAACATAGAATGTCACCCCAATCTGAGGCCCTCAGTACCAGCAACTTCTTGGAAGGGGCCTTGAACTGCCAAAGAGGAAGTATGGGGGTCTCTCCCCAATACCAATGTGCCTGCCTGGTTTTCCAGCTGAAGGACACTGTCAGAGTTCAGTATGGCTGCTGTGACCAGTGAACACTACCTTAGAGCCTTATGACAACACAAATTTCCCATCTGCTAGTTCTGGAGGTCAGATGTCCTCAAATCAGCAGGGCAGCACTGCTTAAGGAGGCCCCAGGAGAGAATCTTTTCTTGCCTTTCCTGGCCTCCAGAGACCACTTGTATTCCTTGGTTCATGACCCCCTCATCCCTCTTCAAAGCCAACAACCTTGAAGCATCTTCTGTCTGTCTCTTCAATCTCTGCTCTTAACAATATGTTTCTTTCTTATTCTAACCTTTCTGCTTCTCTCCTGTAAGAACCCTTGTGTTCATACTGGGCCCACCTAGATCATCCAGAATAACCTCCCATCTCAAAAACCTTAACTACATCTTCAAAGTCCCTTGTACCATGTAAAGTAGCATATTCACAGGGCCAGATGAGTGCGCTGACCTTTTTTGAGAGGGGTGAGGACTGACACGGAACAGACCGCTTGCTACCAGGGCCATCTTCAGCAAAGTGTTCCATGTTGTTGTACCACATCTGTGAAGTGGGGATAATAGCCTACCTACTCAATGAGTGTATGGTTCACCTCTATTATAAACCATGAGCTTTCTATAAAATAGAGCTCATGTCGGGCCACAGCTGATGCATAGTGCCCAGTATATGGAAACTATAAATAAGATACAGCTGTGCTCAGAGGAAGTTCCCGGATTAGTGAGCAAGAGACTGAAGCTCTTTGGGCTTATAAAAAGGGCTGTGAGAGGAGTGGGGGCAAGTGTGGCGTGGTGGAAGAGACCGGGCTCTGCTTGGTGAGTAGAGGTGAATGGCCATCTAGGAGCACTTGTAGATGGGGCAGCTGGGGAGCAGCCATCTGCTACGGTGGAAGAGTAAGGACATCTCTGGCATCCAGAATGGAGTAGATATGGCTGGCACACAGGGACCATTGGGCCACCCAGGGAAGAGCAGGTAGTTCTGTTCATGTAGACCTCGCACTGTGACTTGGAGAGGTGAGGTCCTCATGGGCCACCCCCATTCTCTCATCTTTGAAGTATTTATTGACATCCTGCTGCATATAAGATGCTGACTCAAGACACCACTCTGCCAAAGGAACACATTTCACCCAGTCCCTGCATGCTCTTGCCTGGACCTGGAGTGGAGTCAGGATGTGACTTTTATCATACTGTCCTCCCAGGAAGTGTTGAGCACAGACAAATGCAGTCCTAGGGCCAGAGGTGACTTCCTCAGCCCGGCCCCCAGCTAGCCAGATGTACTGCGGTTGAGAGCATTTTAATGTTATGGTGCTTGGTTTGAATTAGCTTTTCATGACTAAGAAAGGCAAGCTCATTGCAGGAATGCATTTGCAGTGTTTCATTCATTTCCCCACCCTTCAGCGAGTGCCCAGGATCTGGTCCACATTTGCACTAGGGTCATCAGGGACCTCTGGGGAATCACAGTAACAGAGAGCTCTAGACTCACTGAGTCTGCACTCTGATGGCTAGTGTCATTCACATCCTGGCGACCTGGCCAAGTTGTTGAGTCACCCAGAATTCTCCGGTCATATCCAGGATGTCCGTTGCTTGTGCTCCAGAGCTGGCTACCCAAACGCTGACCGGATGAAGTCCTTCCTTCCAACTAACTATTCCCTTTTGAAATGGGCTTTTCTCAATCCAGCATTATATTTCAATAAAATAATTCTGCTTCCAAATCTTTCTACAAATGAAACACTAGAAAATTCAAAACATATGCCTGAAATTCCTAACTGGCAAAGTGATTTTTAGAATACCTTTTGAATTTTTTTGTTCATTTACTTGTTTTTCCAATTCTTATCATTGATATTATTGACAGTCTCACTGCTGTTGGGAGTTCTTTTTTTTTATTTTCTCCCACAAATCTTGCATCTCAAGATTTTAGATGTTGACATCAAAGACATAAATATTATCTGCAGTTCAAATAGTGTAATTTCATTTAGCACGCTTCTTCCAGTTTAGTCTTAATATCCACAAAGATTTTCTGTCAGTGTAGCATGACCTTTATTCCTGCCGAAATACAGCTGAGTATTTTTCTTTAGGCAGCAAATTTACTTTTGCCAATGTTGTTTGTCAGAACCACTAGCATGATGACTGAGAATATTACTTGGCAATTAATCTTACCAATAACTACATGATAACTATGTGCCTACAGCCACCACAATTTACTGAGGGGACATCCTGAACTGTGTTAGTGTTATCTATTTCATCTAGTGTCATTTGATTTAGTCAAGCATATTGGTTTAAATAAGCTTAGTTTATGGAACTCCACCTGCGGCCATGCATTTACTAATCACCTACAATGGTGTTGCTACAGAGGGCACCAAGCCAAGAGGCATTCTGTTTAGGAATCAGGACAGTCTTCCTCTGTTCCATCATATAAGAAGAAAATG